CTTCCCTAAAATAGTTGGTGGAAATGGCCGCAAGTTTGTTACACACAGGCTTTTATGAGGAAAGGCCATCCTGTAGTAGAGTAGTAGTGTGTATCATCCTTGGGTATCTCCGAGTTTTCCGGACATTGTTTCGAATTCCGGCCGGACTTCCCCGGACACCCTAAAAACCCAAACATGTCCGGGTAAATCCGGACGTATGGAAACCCCTCGGGAAACCCTAGTCACATATCATAGTCATTCCAAAAGTTAACTTTTTGTTATTAATCAGAATAGTTTTATAATACTAAACTAGAACACAAATAATAAGAAATCATTATGTTCTACAGGGGTAAAAAATCAGATTTTGACACTGGGCATATTGTCCGTCGATTTTAATCCTGATACTCGGACGGAGTGTGAGCTGGTGGCTCCCTACATTAGAACGCCAATAAGGCCTAATCTAATAAGGCCAGTGCCCTTTATTGCCTATGAATTCCATTTTCAAAAATTACAATATTATCAAAAAAGAAATCCATAATGCAAATCTCGATGCAAATCAAAAATTATTGCAAGGGTTCCTAGCAACTCGACATATCTCGAAAAATAGCCAACCAAATAATTTCATATGTCACGTTATAACTTTGAGGCTGGAACTCAATTAGCTAATTAGCTTATATTTGTGTTTATAAATTGAATGAAACGATTGTAATTTTTTAAGGAACATTTATGTATTGAGAAAGCTACAGAGTAAGTACAGAATAATATCTTTGCTAGATTTCTAGTTATAGACTTTTTTTATTAATTTAACATGTTCTTAATAAGGCCAACATACGAAAAATGTTCAAATGGCCTCACATCACAGTGCTTTTTAGAAGATTGTGTCATATACCCTGCGTTTTTATTCTCATCAAATTTTACCGATGGATCCACCATTCTATGTCGGTCATTGTCATTTTCCATTCACTAAACAAAGATAGCTAACTCATCGGTGAATCCACTGATGAGAATAAAAACGCACATATTATTACCTGAGTGATGTTTTTTAAAATGCCTAGAGTCTAACCAAGCAAGAAATGCTGCGGCTCATTTGTCCTAGTTTTATGTAGACCGATTTGGATCGACATCCCAGGACTTGGAATTATTGTTTTTTAGGTAACGAACGTATAAGTTCTTTTTTGTGTAGTATTTCTCAAATAATAATATTTTTCTGCGATTGACAAGAAATGTCAGCATTTTTGACCGGTTTACAGGTCGCAAAACTCAATATTCTGGTATTTCAATTATGTTTCAATAGTTGCTAAGGAATCAATGACTAACAATACGGGAAACACTTTTCCGGCCTAGGCCGGGAAAATGATTCTCGTATTGCTGAATAATTGGAACTAAAAGACAAACATTTAACAGGTATGTAACCGATCGCAGAAAAAATAGTATGTGTATTTCGGTGGAAAAGCACATTCTCGGCCTTCGGTGTTTGCCGGCCTCGGCTACGCCTCGCCCGTCAACTTACACCGTCGGCTGAGAATGTGTCACTTTTCCACCTAAATACACAATATTTCTCCAAACGTCAGAAAAACGTCACTTTGTTAACCCCTGTCAAGATGCCAGAAATTTGATTTCTATGCTGCTTGGCAAATCCAGCGGGTTAACACCTGTCGAGGTGGTAGAAATTTAATTTCTATGTTGCTTGGCAACCCCAGCGGCAGCAAAAGTACTTTTAGTGCCGCTCCTACTTTTACTGCTGCTCAACCATTCACTTGACCTGGGGTTTACCCCATTCGTTTGGAGAAAAAATAGCGTGTTGCATACGGAGTAGAAGCACTTTTTTGTGCTTCAGCAGTATTGCAAGCCTCACTACGTTCGGCTCGCAAACCTACCGCTTCAGCACAAAAAAGTAAAGCTTCTACTCCTAATACAACAATATACTATTTTATTAATAATTGTATTTATTTTAAACATTTTTTAATGAGGGCCTTGTTAGGAGCATAGTGATCCAAATAAGGCCAATGGTAAGCGTCTTTGTTTTACACAAAAACCACCACTTATATGAAAAAATAAATAAATTGGAATTAATATTCAAGTAATAGAAGCAAAACACTTCTCATATAAAGAAATATTTTTTTTTTTTTTTATTATTATTACTATTACCAGTATTACAATATCATTACAATAAATTTAAGCATACAATATGTATACCTAATCTAAAACTTTCATCGTACAAATTAGCCCCTAGATGCGGTAACATCCGTATGGGCGAAACAAAAGTTATACATAAAGAAATTTTATTTTTATAATGCGAAAATAAAACATCAAGACAATATAATCATTTGAGAATCATAGACCTTCTTACTTTTGATTTAGCTCTCCATAACCTTAAAAAACTCACCATAATGCTCTACTATGTATGTTTTTGACAATTTAGAAAAATAATTTATGTTTCTAGCTTTTATATTATTTGGTAATAGGTTGTATAATTTGGAACCCAAGAAAGTAATGGATTTTTTACAAAATTCACTGTAACATCTAGGAATGATTAGATGTTTGTTTGTATTTATTCTAGTGCCATGACTATGATTCACAACTGTACTATTCTTATTATGCCTGTGAATATGACAACATGTCATGTAAAAAAATAGTGTTCTTATATTAATAATAACTTTGTTATATAGTAGCTGTGTAGGATATAATATATTTCTCTTGTGGATTATCTTCAATATTCTATTTTGCAAAACCTGCAGTGGCTTTAATGAGTTATTATATAAACTTCCCCATACTACTATTCCATAGCGTAATATGGATTCAACCAAGGCCTGATACAGAGAAATCAGTATTTTCACCCCAAGCATCTGCCTTAATGTATAAAATTTATGTACCAGATTCATTAGCTTTTGAATGAGATAAGTTACATGTTTGTTCCATTTCAAGTTCTGATCAATCATTATGCCGAGGTACTTAGTATCTGCGACAGAATGAATCCTATCGTAATAAGCTCGTTATTTTTGTTGGGTTTGGTGGTGGATAATGTTAGTAAAAAAATAAAACTTCTTAATGTGACCTTATTTGGGACAGGTAACTTATATGTATTTGCATTGGCAACACCTTGTATACAGTGGCTGGGTTCGGTAATTGCATCTGCTAGCAAAAAGAGCAAATTTTAATGGACGTCACGTGATCACTTACCTTCTTTCTGTCAAATCTTGCTCACAGATGCAATTACTGAACCCAGCCAGTGAGCCCAAGATATGGATGGGATAGCAAGGATCTTGAGAACGGTTGGAGTTACAATGTTGGTTATATTAGGAAAAAGTTGCGAAATGCGCTCCATAAAAATGGTACTTTGACATTTGAAAAATTCTGAACATTTTCCGAGATATCCCGATAAATGTCAGTTCATCATAACATTTTCTACTCTACAAAACGTCAAATTTTAAAATTGATAATGTCATCTTGAAGAGTAGGAAAAATGGTAACGACGAATAAGTGACATTTATTTTTGGATTTTGTGAAATTTCGGTTTTTTCGGGATATCTCGGAAAATATTCGGAATTTTTCAAATGTCAAAGTACCTACCATTTTATTAAGCATTACATTGCGCAACTTTTTCCTAATTTAACCAACATTGTAACTCCAACCGTTCTCCAGATCCTAATGCTATCCCATCCTTATCTTGAACACGCTGTACAGGTTCATCCAACAAGGACTGAATAGGGGCTTATTTTTGATCTTCCCTGCATTTTAGCAAAAATTCAAAATAGTCAATTGCCAGGTTCGAGGGGTTTTTCACCTAACAAAATTTGTACACTGATTAACAGTACTAACTGAGATATTTCCATGTATTAACCGATATTTCTATGTACCTAATAACAATTTATTGCCAACTATTTCCATGTATGTATTAACAAAATATTTCCACATATTGCCAGGTATTTTCCTAGTATTATCACATATTAACAGGTTTTGCCATGCTATTGGCAGACTAAAATCAAAAATTTGAATTGCCAGAATTCTAGGTATTGACATTAACATTATATTGCCTGCCTAGATATCTACAAGTATTGACATACATAATTAACAAGTAGGTATTACATAGTATTGACACTATTGACATAATATTTACCTGGTATTGACATATACAGTTGTCCCGCTTAAGGACTGACCACCCCTCAAACCACTCTTCTGAAAATTTTATTTTTCAACCGAATTTGGCACTTATTAGGCTCATAATTTTATTTCTGCGGCTGCACTCATGTACAGGGTGTCTACATTTATAGGCTCAAATTTCAATAAGTACTATTAGGGATTTTTTTTGGAAAAAATCCCTAATAGTAAGTACCTCGGTAAGTACTTATTGAAATTTGAGCCTATAAATGTAGACACCCTGTACACCAGTACAGCCGCAGAAATAAAATTATGAGCCTAATAAGTGCCAAATTCGAGCTATAAGACAAAAAAAAATTAATTGAATCGGTTAAAAAATAAAAATTTTAGAAGGGTGGTCAGTTAAGCGGGACACACTGTATTAACCAGTGATTTGTACATCGATTAACAAGGTGAAAACCCCATTCGCCAGGTTGAAAGTCGAAACAGTCCAAGTGCTCTTGGATGAAAACTTGGACCAAGTAAGTTGGCAGCTAGCATTCTTACTTGGATTTTAGGACAAGGACCTACAAAACTAGACTTGGATAAACAGTTGATACAATCCAAGTAAGACATGCGCAGCGTCCAAGGGTACTCAACTCGGTACTCAATCTAAGTATAGTTACTTGGACGGACTGTGTCGTGTCAACTGAGCTTTATAAGACAAAAACCACAGCACACACCCAAAGTATATGGAGGAATCAAAAATGCAGAGCTAAGCAAATTCCAAATTCCACTCAATTTATGGAATAATTCCATGAGTACATACGCCATACAGTGGCAAAAAATAAATGAGGAGTTCAATTCATTTCTTAAATACCTAACAGAATCACTATTTTTTCATAAAATGGACAGGACTATGGACAGGATTTTTCAATTCTTACCTTAGGTTTTTCCATGGTGGCCTCCATTTTTGAAGGTGATTTTCGGTTATGGCTTCTTTGTTTTTTTTTTTCAAATTCACAATTTTTTTTGTGGCTGTGGGTAAAAAATTAGCCTCGAAATTAGCATACTATGTAATACTATTGTAGACACAATAAAGTTAGTCACTTTTGTTGTATTGTTTGAAGCAATCACTTTATAGTTTGTAATTGATAAGAACTTTATTTATCGGTCGGTATCAGGTTCCCAGGATTTATTTGTCTCTTTATTTGCATTGTTTTCAAAAATTTGTTGTAGTGTAAACATTTTAAACAACAACAGCTGATTTGATTTGACAGTTCAAGGTTTAAAGACGAAAGACGATTTCGACCTGTTTTGGTTGATATGTAATTGGTTAACTACTGTTTGGAAGCACGAGTGCAATATCACTGGTTATATTCACCGTGCGTTCGGTATTTTGATATGAGTTCTCCGAGCTTGAATTTACCGTTCGTTTATTTAAAAAGTGTGCTCGGTGCAGGCTCATTCGCGTTCGTTTATTAGAATTTCGAGCGCTCTGAGAGCGTTTACCAGCTCTGTGCGCTCGCTGGTCACGAGATTACGGTTCCGCTTCAGCACGGACAGTAGACTCTGTACTTTGAGCAAAATACCGAATGCAAGATCCTTGGAACGCAAGCGTAATTTGGGCTGAGTTCGGCTTTTGCACTCTATAGAGCGGGACGGTATGAGCAAGGATATCGTGACGTCATGCGCGGTTATAAGCCCAACGCAAAAGAGAACACTCTGAGCACTAAAACGAACGTTTCGAGCACGCTCAGAGTTTACAGAGTGTAAAGCCGAACTCAGTCTCAGTGGAAGATCTTGGATTGACTTGGATCTTGGATCCCGTGACAACATCGCGAAACTGGTACGTAACTTTTTGCTCCGAGTCCGAGTGCACATAGTTCCGCGTTCCGCACCAGTGCCATTTGGAAAATTGTTGTTTTGGTTTTCAAATTTTTTTGGCCGTTCTTATGACAAAGTTTTTCTTATTTCCATTCCATAGCCAACCAGAAAAAAAGATCTTTGAAAACAGAAAAGATGAATAGAAGATGCGATTGCAAAACTGGCTGAAGAAAAAAGAGAACTAAGTACTGGAGGTACTATTGAATTATTGAAATAACTCAATCAACGCCATTTCTTGGCTGAAAAGGTAATTATTGATTTTGACGGCATGGGCTTGTGAGGTAAACATACGATTTTAGCATCTGTGAAGCATCTATAGTGACGTCTCATTTGTATTAGGGCTTCACAAACTGGCAATCCTTCCCTTTTCATAATCCTTGGAAACTCCGCACATGTCATGTCTACCATCTACACATGTGGTAAAAAAAGTTAGGTTATGATCGATGTTATTTGTGTTGTTTTGTTGTGTTCATGTTGTTTTTAATTAATTTTTTACACTAGTTTTAACAGAAATTAATAAATATACCGCATAATGCCTCAATGTATGGTACATAATGTCGGATTTTACGCTCCTGAAGCTAGAGCCATTTACTCTATGGCTCTGAATGAAGCCGAAAATAAACTTGCAGTTGCCAGGTGAGAATTTTCTTAAATTTTTCAGAGCAATATTTGGATACCAGGGACCAGGGCTATTGTAGATTCTCTTTATCAGTTATCTTGCTCTTGGCCGGGAGACTTGAACGAAAAACTAGACAAAAAATAATTCCTTTAATTAGTGCTCCAAAGCCAAAATCTCGTGAATTACTAGTGGCGTAACCAGAAGGAATGAGGAATTCTAGATCTCAGATCTTGGCCCCTCTATTTTTCTCTACTACTAAACTCCTAATTATCACATTTATCTTTTGCTGTAGTGGAAACCTTGACAGAATTAAAAAAAAAAAAAAAGGAAATGCCTAAGCAATTTCAGAAGAACTAGCTAGTTCCGTTCAACTACTACTCAGTTTTTATGTGATACTGATATAGCATTACTTTATCTTAAATACATCTATCCAAGCATCTATAATTCCACAAAATCAAGTAATTTATTTCCATATAACAATAGTAACAATACACAACGTGTTTACTTGCATCAATCTTCAATATAGGTATAGTCCAACAAATACCTTTTTAAAGTCACGTGATTTTTTTCTATCCTTGTTGAATACATCTCAAACAGCGGTGATAGTAAAATTGACAAAAAAATTGCTGTCTAATTATTGTTCATAATATTCTTACCTGAAATAGAATCCGTCACTGCCATCAATTAGTTTGTCAAAGTTATTTTCGAAAGTAATACAACGAACAAACACAGCTAATAATTTTGACTATATTAACCTTTTTCCAACTCGAAAAGAAGCAAATAGAAAACGGGTACCCAATTCAAGTTCAGAATGTATTACAACCTCGATTACAACAGACAGCACATGCAACAAAAGTGAGTCTCGCAACAATTGCAAGTATTAAAATTGCCCTCTGATTGGTCAATACTACTTCAGAAACGCGTTTGTAAAATGCTAGTGGGAACATATATCTCCAGAAAAATTACATTCCAAACAGTTAACTAAGATAAATGTGGGGAATAATAGGCCATATTTGCTGCATCCCATGCAAGCATGAGTGCTGTTGAGGCCCCAAAAAATTGCTTAAAATAAAATATAAAGAAAGGCTTATCTAAGATATATGAATATGAAAATCAAGTAACGCACTTGATACTTAAACGGTAAGACGAAGAAAGAGAAGAAGGAGGTGGAAAAATAGAGAAAAGAAGGAAAGAAAAGAAAAAGAAAAAGAGGGCACATGGTAGAGAATAATATGGCCGAGTTCGTTTTTGTCATCTTTTCCGTCGATTTGCTCCGAAATTTTGACAGGCACGTGATTTGTAAATTGAAACTGTCTTACTTAGTCACGTGCCTGTCAAAATATCGGAGCAAATCGACGAAAAAGATTACAAAAACGAACTCGGCCTATATATACTAGAGCGGAGAATAATATTAAAGCAGATAGGAATTTCATGATGTACCCAATTATTTATGTGCAGGAAATTAAGGGCGATTTATCTAGAGCAGGAAATATAATATATTATATTTTAAATTAGTTTTCATTTCATTCTTTTTTTAAAAACACCAACAGATGTAGAAAAATCAATTATTTCATATTTGTTAATGAGTGAGGCAATGGTATAGCTGAATGACTTTTTGAAGAATTCTTTATTGTGAGACGGTATTGTCAAAAGCTGTTTCCTGCGAATGTTTAAATTATGAATGTCAGTTCGATATTTGATTTTATTGTGTAGGTATGGTGGAGTTTTAAATTTTATTAATTTATAAAAGAAGCATAGTGAGTGCAGACTACGCCTGTTAAACATACTTAACCAGCTCAATTCATTCAGTTTGTGTGAAACTCGGTCTCTTCGTCTTATTCCACACGCAAACCTAATGCAAGAGTTCTGAACCTTTTGGACTCTCCTAACATCTATCGAATCCAAAAAAGGCCCCTATAGGTGATCGCAAAAATTAAAATGCGAGAGAATTAAAGAGTCGCAAAGCAAAGTTTTAGTTCTTTGACAAAGATAGTGTCTATGAGAGTATAAACCCCTCAAAACTGAATATGCTCTTTTTAAGCAAAGTGTTATGTGTTCTTTAAATTTGAGTTTGCTATCCATGACAAGTCCCAAGTTTTTAGTCGAATTTTTAAATGATATCGTGTCTTGTCCTAGATTTAGTTCAATATTGCCTAAAAGATCATTTCTAATATTTTCATTACAAAACAGGAGAGCTACCGATTTGTTAGGATTTATTTTAAGCAAATGTTTATTTGATTCATCAAGCAACGATTTCAGATCTTCATTGATCAGCTTATTGGCTGCAGCTACTTCTGAAGGTTTGAAAGATAAATAGATTTGCGTATCGTCTGCGTATAAGTGGTATTGACAAAATTTTAATGATTTTATAAAGTTAGAGGTGAATATACTATACAGAAGAGGACCCAAAATACTACCCTGAGGCACTCCCGCAAAGACATTAAGAGATTCCGAATATTATCCGTCAAGAGTAACTCTTTGAGATCTCTTTGAAAGGAATGAGGACACAAGTAGAGACGCCGACTTACTGAAGCCTACGTATTTTAAAATCGACAGAAGAATTTCATGGTGAAGCATATCAAATGCTTTTGTATAGTCTAATAAAATGAGCACACTAGCATTGCTGTTGTCCTGCGCCCGCACTATATCATCAGTTAAATCAGACAAAGCTGTTGAGCAGCTATAGCCCGCTCTAAAGCCGGATTGTTTGCTGGGTATTATGTTATTGTTGTTGAGGAATGTATTTATCTGAAGTTCCATAACTTTTTCAAGAATTTTTGAGAGAGTGGGTAAAATAGAAATTGATCGTAAATGACCAAACTCGGTAGGATTTTTGATTTTGGGGAGAGGAATTACATTGGCGGACTTCCAAGATTGGGGAAAGTGTGATTCACTTAGGCAGCAATTTATAATGTGTGTTATAAATGGAATTATAAATGGACAACACAAAGTAATCAGCGTTATATTGAGATTTTCCGATCCTAGAGCTTTAGATTTGAGTTTAAGGAGAATTTTGGAAATCAAATATTCGCTAACTGGCTGAAAAAAAAAAGTTTCATTGACCAATAAATTATTTTTATAAAAGTTTATGAGTTCTTGGTTAGGTATATCATTGCTATTTGTTATTTGCGTAAAATACTTATTAAGTTGGTCTAAATTTGTCAGATTACTTGGTATGGTGTTACTTTTTTTATTTGTTATGATATTAAGTTTTTTAAGTTCGTTCCATTTTTCCTTTGTGCTGCAAGTTTGAAGTTTAAAATTTAGGTAAGCTTTTTTTTCAGATCTAATAGCCGATGTTGTGTAATTTCTCAATTGCTTATAATAATTCCAGTGTTCTTGGTTTTTAGTCCTTCGAAAACGGTTTTAAGCTTGATTTCTGAGTTTTTTCATGTATTTTATGTTGTCAGTTATCCATGGACAGTAGGGTCTTTTTTTTCCTCTGTAAACTTTTGGGGGTGCATGAATATCGAAAATGTGCAATATAGTGTCAGTTAAATATAATACCTTTTGATCTATAGATTCTATCTCATATAAAATATTCCAATCAGCACTTTCCAAATCTGCCTGAAATCTGATTAAGTTAATTTGATTTAAAGGTCGATATGTATAAACGATTTTTTCAGGCTCTAACATCAAAAACTGGAGACAGCAATATACAAGAAGATGATCAGATATGCCAACATCAATTACTCCTACATCCTGAATATTATCCGAGTTCTAACAAATCAAGTCGATTAGTGTTTCACTTATATTCGAAATCCTAGTTGGTTCAGAAATTAACTGATTTAAACCAAATGTTTCTAAAATATTATTAAGTTGACTTACATATCCGGAATCAATGTCTAGCATGTTTATGTTAAAGTCTCCAAAACATATAATTTTATCTGAGTTTGCAAAGAAATTTATTAAAATATCCTCAAAATAGGTAAGAAACTCTACACGGCTACCCTGAGGGGGTCTATAGAGATCTCCCACATATATTAAAATTCAATAGTAATTAACCACCAGTAGCTTTTTGTAGGTGATATCAACGACATAATCAATGGACATACGTTTTTTGCCACCAGTATCACGTGACTTTAAAATGGTATTTGTCGGACTATACTCCCTACAAACTGGTATTCAAGATTTAAAATCTTTTTTAGGCGACTGCCACAAAAAGATTAGTTTTACGGATTCAATATCATCCCTAAAGTATATCTTTTTTGGCCGCATTCACTTCACGGCCGCATTTACTTCACGGCCGCATTTGCTTTATCACTTTACGGCCGCTTTTACTTCACGGCCGCTTTTACTTTACGGCCGCTACAAATTTCCACATAAAATGCTAAAAAAAAACCGCATGATTAAAAATTTGGGAGAAGTATTTTCTTGCCAAAATTAAATAATCCTTAACGTTATGGTCTTCAGGTCCACCTATGTTATACTCTATGTTAAAATTTACAATTATAGTCGGAAATACCTAACATATCAGCAAGTTTTCAAAATTGATTGCTTTTTTAAAGAAGCTCAATGTAAGATACCAGGCGAAAAAGTCGGCAAATTTCTATAATCACTTTATCGTAGTTTTTGTTATTAATAATTGTGTATCTACCTTTTGCTGGATTATTTATTTGATCAATAAAGTTTAAAGCTACTGTTGAAGTTTCTTCTTTTTTCAAGAACAAACACTCGCCTAAAAAATTTTGTGTGCACCTCGGCCGAATGATCTTTTTTGGCCTCATCTGAAATTTGCTTGGCCTCGGCTACGCCTCGGCCGCAAATTTCTGATTCGGCCAAAAAAGATCAACTTTACGGCCTTGGTACACAAATAACTATTATTTACGACTAATGTATAACGTGCGTATTATATTTGTGATTTTGGCAGTATAATGACATATGTTATTCCTCCAGGGATTAATGACGAGTAGCGGGATTAATGGTCATTATTCCACAAAAGTGTCAGTGTCAAACGTGTAGTGCTTGTGGATTTGTATTGAAAATTATGAGACGGATGAAATTTGTTCATTGAAAA